CTCAAATGGGCAGTGACGTATCTCCAACGAGGCGTTTTGGGGAGGTATTTTCTGTGTTAGAGTTTTACTCGCTACAGGGTGTACTTTGAGGGTTTTGACTCTGCACACCGTTTACATGCATAAAAACCTTCATAACACACAAGGGGACGGGTAATAACCGGAAAAGCATGACATGGGAGCTTTAAAGGTAGGGTAGGTAAGTTTGAGAAACCGGCTCGAGATCGCTAGAATTTGAAAATACACAACCGGAGAAAATCTGCCACTTCCTTACAGAGCCCCTCCTCCAACACACACGAACGCACACATGACCAATGAGGGCACGAGATAAGTTTGTGCCCCGATGGAAGGCTGACAGGCAGGTAGGCCATCCAGTTATTTTAGCCGGGCTGGCTAAAATGATTGGTCGTGCTTTTTACAGTATTACGGCTTCCACAGATGACATTTTTTTATGGATTTTGTGTCAAAGCACTTAATATATTCATTGCTATCGGGATGTTAAGAGCATTCCATGGAATATAACAAAAAGTGTTTCTCGAGCCGGTTTCTCAAACGTACCTACCCCACCTTTAATGCAAAAAGATTTTTAGTCTTATCGAGTCCTTATTGCTTTCAAGTTTTGAAGATATAGCTCAATCATTAGGTCAGTTTGTCCTCGCTCATGTATTTGTTCCGTTTGATTGAGGCTGCAGAGAACACAGCATTTGAGATTTGTTTAACAAAAGTGAAAATAAAGCTTGAAGAGCAGCAGTCTCCCTGGGCGTCTCTACGTCAGCTGACTGTTTTTATTCTATCCACTCACCTCACAGACCTAAAACAAGCAACAGTCAATTTCCTAACAAATATATCTTGTTTTTATTATAAACGAATGTCATGGCTTTGTTGTGCATTGTTTTGATGACTTTGTTCACCTACATTTGAGATCCTCGCCTACATACTGTATCTGGAGCTATTTTCATGAAGTTAGCGGGAATGTGAAATGCTCTATTGTCATCAAAGCTGATTTGGGCTTTATGATAGTTACGCCTTCATAATGTAATCTTCGAGCGAAACAAAAGCGCAGCCTCTGTCTCAGACGAGGAGGTAGGAGTACACTTTATTCTAAAATCCTCTCGGGGCCAAACACATTCCTCTGCTAGGTCTAATTATTCTGTTGGGTTTCAGGGGTTGCTGGACGATGTTTTAAAAGAGAATTCTCCAGGGATGAATTTCTCGTATGGTGTGCCTAATTTAGGTATTAACTAAATGTAATAAACTCTTGCCAGAGGATGCTTCCAAGCAGCGCATTGCTTCTAGCTCCAGCCTCCACATCAAATATGTATTTAATCTGAGTATAATGTAGTGGCTACACAAGATAAACACATTTACTCAGAGCTATAAAGCCCAAGGATCGATATAAGCTGCTTCTGTGTTTACTCCCTTGCTTGTAGATGATTGCCTTTTGGTCATCCCGGGAAGTAGAGAAGAATAGAGGTAAAGGGAGCCAAAGCAGAGAGAAAGGAAGCACTGTCTCAGTAGTCTTCATCTCCTCTCCACCATCACCATCATCATCATGAAAAGGTCTTGCCCTTTTGAAGATTTTGTGTGTGAAGAGATCTGATAAGCACAATCTTAGGGATGGGGCACTGCAGTCCTTTTGGTGTCAAGCCCACTGGAGACTTAATGCCAAAGTCAGACTCAAGCACACAGCCAACGTTAGTTTGAGTGTAACGATCTCTCATGTGCTGCTTTGAACAGGATGAGGACTTCAGCTGCCCCCGCAACACAGCAATTATGCCCTCAACGAAGGGTCTGAAAACATCAGATGATTGCACAAAGCGATGAGATGCGCCTTTAAAAACTCTCCTGACTGTGATCAGTAAAGTTGCATCTCAAGTTATCTTAAATCGATGTATATGCCCAATAGAGCCTGAGCAATACCACTCTACTGTACAGTATGCTGTTATGATTTTCACCGTGTGGTCGATGAACCGTTTTCTCAAGATGTGAGTGTAAATTGACTAGGTGGTCAAGAGCAGGCTATAGCATTGCTTTGTACGTTTAATGTTGCAGTCTAGATATTCTTCCTTTTTCTGAGCAATCGACTCCAAACCGTCTTTTGTGAACTTAAAAAAGACACATTCTTTTCACGTTCAGTAACTGAATAACATGCTTTTACCTCAACCAGGCTTCACTAATTGTCTGTTTCTGCTCGAACAAAGCTTTGAATAAACTGCAGACCATATACAATGCAGCATTGCAAGTGCTGACTATGGCCAGAATAAGAGAATACATTACACATGTTTTTAAGTCCCTTTGTTTGCTGTTATTTTTATACTACTTCTGTTTTGTATAATCACTTAAGGGACCAGCACCTTATTACATAACTCTTCTCTTTACAGGATAAGTGTTGTCCAGAGTGTTTGACCTTTTAGCTGCTGCCTGGGGCTGCACTACATGCATACATGTGTTGAAGCAGGCTTCAGTGCCATGGTCATCACCTCTAGAAAAGCCAACCAGAGAACCTGCGGTCATCACAACCTGCTGACGTCTTTGAACAATTTCAAGGTATATGTGTCAGCAAAGTATTTACATAACGGCGTACGATAGATGCCTAAATAACATAGAATATAATGTTATCAGACGATGTCAGCATTAAGCACTTATATCACATGTTCGTATTTCTTATTGTTCTTTTACAAATACATTTGCTTTCCAATTGCTTACTTATGGTAGTTTTTTGTTTTAGATACAAAACAGTTATATGGACCATATCAAGAGAACATTCCAACAAAAGTTCAGGAGAACAAAGTAATTAGGAATCAACTTTTGGTGCACCATTTTATGTTCAGGTACATAGCCATTAGCTTTAGGCTGGTTTAACAGACTCATTGACAAGAAAAGTCCTTTTAATGTTGTTGTATATGTGAGATTGAAAATGCAGTCAATTCAATGTGTTATTGCTGGTTATATGGTGCATTTTCAGGCTACAGTTTTTAGTATCATTTCTGGAAATGTTCCACTGGTTGGGTGTTTATTTATAGGGAATAATACATTGAGTTGTGTTCTAGATAGGAAACCTTTTTATGCCAGAATAAATGTAAAGACCCTAGGACAGACAGTACAGTGTTGTTACAGTATGTTGTTGTCTTACACACATAGTTCACCAGTGCAGTTTTACTTTTGGTATTTTATAAATCCATGTGAGCGGGTAACTTGTGCTGTGTTTGCTTTACTTACTATAATATATGCTAAATAGTCAGGTGTTTTTGTTACTGGAACAAAATGTTCTACAGTGAAAACTGATGCAAAGTGTTTTTCATGTTGACTCTTAAAGGTAAGGTAGGTAAGTTTGAGAAACCGGCTCGAGATACACTTTTTGTTATATTCCATGGAATGCTCTTAACATCCCGATAGCAATGAATATCTCAAGTGCTTTGACAAAAGATCCATTAAAAAATGTCATCTGTGGAAGCCGTAATACTGTAAAAAGTACGACCAATCATTTTAGCCGGCCCGGCTAAAATAACTGGATGGCCTACCTGCCTGTCAGCCTTCCATCTGTGCACAAACTTATCTCGTGCCCTCATTGGTCATGTGCGCGTTCGTGTGTGTTGGAGGAGGGGCTCTATAAGGAAGTGGCAGATTTTCTCCGGTTGTGTATTTTCAAATTCTAGCGATCTCGAGCCGGTTTCTCAAACTTACCTACCCTACCTTTAAGAAGATGTTATTTTTAAATACCAAAGGACATTGTTTGCAATTGGTGTCTTTTGTTTTTTACCCAGTAGGTAAGACTTTTTATAGTCAAAAAGAGCCTTTTGAAACTAATATGATGGATGACATTTCACCATGCAACATTTATGAGTGAGCTGGCGATGATCTATTCGAGGTACAGTATACCCTGGGCGTACACCCTGGGCGTACACGTGTTTTCCATGTGAACGCACACTTATATTGCTACACTAAGCGGGTTCAGCACCACAGACAGCTCCTTGAGTCTTTAGTTTAGAGGCTGCACCGATGCACTCTTTTTTTTATACTCCACTAACCTTCATTACAACATCTCATCTCAAGCTATAAAAAGAACAATGCTTGTAAAAATACATTCATAGCATCAAGAAAGAAATGTTAAACCAACAAAAAAATAATGAAAGCAGCCCATGCTTTGCTTAAATTATACAACTCTGCTGAACAAAGCGTTAATCTGCCAGGGGCTCGGAGTCTCGTGGGGGATCATTATTCTTTATATGCAACAAAGCGGTGGGCCGCTCACACTGCCTATATGTGAACAAATACCAACACCACTTTTGCAAGCTTTTTTAAAAGACTGTAGGCACCATGTCTGCAAGGGCACTTTTTAAGGACCATAATCATCTTTATGTAATCTGCCATGCACATTCTGGGCTATTCATACAAGGTCAAATCAAGTCATGTCAGTCAAATTATCAGGTTAAAAAAGTGTATGTTTGCTGCTCAAGCCTGCTAAAAGCTTGGCAATTTCAGCATTAGGTAAATCTAATTTGAAAGCCGATGTTAGCCCATGGCAAGTAAATCTCAGGTCTGCCAAACAAGGTAATTCTAGGTTGTTAATTACAGCGCTTGGACAGAGGCAGAACGGGATTATCGTGCCTGCAGTGGCTGAAATGCCAAATCATGTCTGTCCAAACAAACCCTCTCCCTCCTTTCATGTCTCATAAATTACAGCAAGGGATCCGGGCAAATGTCTCTGTGGGTGTTGTGTCCCGCATCAGATCATTTATCACACTGAACAAACAATGACACATCAGCGGGTCCTCCTCACATAGACTGCATACATGTAGTTATAAGAGGCGCTTTTTAATTAAGTTTTGCGATTTGACGGATGCAGGAACTTCGGGTCTTTACGTCAACCTAAAAAGCACCCTCCTCTTCCTCCTCCTCCTCCTCCTCCCTCCGGTCCTCCTTCCCCCCTCCGTCCCTCTCCTGCTATTTGAATAGAGAGCCTGCGGAGGACTCTTTTGTTCAGTAGCGCTCAGCTGCTGGAGAGGTGAGCACCACTTCGCGCTCTGCACTCATCGCGGCTCCTCTCCGAAAGAAACGCGGACACTGTTCGAGACATTCATACCCTGCATGCACAAGAGACCCCGTGACACCCGATCAGTTTTGCGAATCTGCTTCGTTTTCTGCCGCACTTGAAGTGCTTTTTACGCGTCGTTGGATGGTTCAGCTCTCCGTATCTGTGGCGCTATAGCACCTGCACCGTATCAGACCGACGCTCCTGTCAGGCTGCTGCATCGCTCTACATTCCTGTGGACCGGACCTCGTCTAAAAAGGTGAAGGCGAGTTTTGAAAAGCTGCTTTTCGGCATTTTGACGACATAATTAGCATATTTAATCAATTGAGCGTTGAGGAACTCCCATAAACCAAAGGAATATATGGTGTTAACAGCTTATGTTGATGAATTGGAAATGAGCTTGTGAATACTAAGACAAAGATATAGCCCATGGCTATTATCAGAATTACAAGTGCACTTTAGAGACTCGAGTGTGTAGCTTAAGAGTATGGGTCATTTATTCCTGTAATCACTTTATATTTCGTATGAGGCTCGTTTTCAGAGAGATTTACCGTTTTGCCATGTTGGACATTCAATTTAATATATTAGATTTGATGGAAGACACTTTTTTTTCATCTTTTTTCCCCAATATATCATTTTGTTATGTAAATAACAATGACTGTCCAGTTATGCTGCAACCTTTAACAAGCAATACATATAGCAGGTTGAAGCACGATTCCCTCTTTTCTTCTTTGTTGGGAAGCCAGTTATGATGAGCATCTAAAAAAACAAAAACGTTGTAGTCTAACAAGGTCACTGTAGGGTCCAGACTTGTATGACCATCCTGTTGTAGCAAACCCCTGTCTTCCTGCTGTAAGCCTTCAGGTGAGGCAGATAGGGACAGAGGGAGCTGTTGGCTTGGCTGAGAGTCGATAGGCAGCGCAGGGCTGTCAGTGAACCAGAGAGGGCAACCCAAGCTTTATCTTGGATGGCACTAACACTTAAATGGGTCCCTCCATTATTTTTGTTTAAGGGAACTAGCATCTCTAGGCTACTTGATTAATGTGGAGGAGGTCAGGCCATTGCAATGATTGATTTTGGGGAGAGGGGAAAAGAAAACAACTTTGGACTTTGCCTTTCGTCTGCTTGTCTTCATATTTCCGAGCGATGGCATGTTGTCAAATAGAGGATGGCAGCGTAGGGTAGGAGCGGAGTTGCTCATGACCCCCTGGGAAATTAAGCAGAGATTCAACCAAGCAGTTTTTGCAATGGTTACTAGTCTCTCCCGCTCCCTCTTGTGCACACTGATAGCCTTTTCTTCTATGTATTTGTCTGGTATTTGCGAACAAATGGGTGAAACACACACATTCTAATATCTACAAACTGTCTTTGGTGGAATTGATCCCACACTCCTGTTCTCTGATAGTTTATCCCTCCCATCGCCCCACACATGTGATCCTCCATTTGACCTTAGTGTTGGCACAGTGAACCAGAACTTGCAGAAAGGCTGGCTGATGGATCAGAAGCTTCTGTTGCAGAAGAGATCAGAAAACATCCAGCTTTATTTTTGCCCATTAATGACTATGGATAAAACGTTGCCTCCTCACTGGTTGAGCAGCCATGTGTATTTATTTTGTGCGTGTGTGTGTGCATGTGTGAGAGATAGCTGCTGGTCACCTTTGTTGCTCCTGAATTGTGTTGGTAAATAAAGCTCAGTTAATTGGATGTGGCTTCAGATTTTACTGGTTTTTAAGTTGTTCTGCTGGCTTTCGCTTCTTTCTGCCTCTTGCACTCTCATGCATATTGTACAAGGTCTCTATGTTTGTCTTTCTGTCTCTCCCCTCTCATCTGTCTGTTTCTTTCTCTCGTCTCGCTCTGCCCGACTTTATCACTCTTGCACCGAATCGCAGTCTCTACTGTTAACATCATTGTTCTCAGAAGAGGTATATCTTTCTGTGGTATTGCCACTTCACTACCCCCATTTTCACATAATCTGTGTGATGATGAGGCATTACAATGGATGAACAATATGCCTTTTAGAGAGAAGTTCCCTGCTTCTCAGGGGCTCTACTCCAACTGGTCAGGGCCAGCAGCAGATTAGAAACCTGTCATCACATCTCAGGAGAAAAAATAAAAGAAGGAAAGGGAGAATTTTACAGAATGATCTGCTCTTTGCACAAGGACGCGTTGTCACATATTTCAATAATGTGCCTTTTCTGCTTGGCTGCGCTCAGCTTAGTGCAGACACTTGTAGCGGAAGACGTGAATGGACAAGATTTCAATTTTGCACTTGAGTAGTGTCCAGGCAAGTGAATGAGGAATAGGATATTTCACAAATGTAAGACATTAATATTCCTACAATGAAACTTCTGCTATGCCTAAAACAGACAAAGCCACCCTGGCTTGAGATGAAACAAGGGAGAGCAGCCAAGCAACTGCACCGTATCAGTACAGAGGATCTCTGGGCTCCAGTTATGCTGTTTGACTGGTGAGGGCCTCCAGCTACAAATCCCATTGTTGGAAGCTTCTGCTATGAGTCGTGGCTGCTTTTTGGCTAATGGCTTTAATACTCCTAATTCTAAAGTAGAAAAGAAACATTTCTGTTTTTGCGATTTAACTGGGAGTTCAGTGCCGTCTTCTCACTTTATATGTTACAAATGGATGAAGTTATTTTGGCTGTAGTGATGGAAAGACTGGGAGGGATTCTGAAGATTCCTGCAGAGAGACTAATTTACAGACGCAGATAACCCTGATCCAATTAAGCAGTGAAAACACTCACAGCATCCTACACACACTTTCAATTCTGTCTGTATTAATGATCGAGAAAGTCTGTGCTTTCAACTTTTGGTAGGTCCACGGATCCTGTCAGCCCATATTTCATCTTTTAGGCAGCGTTTCACTTGGCATCTCCATTCTCCCATTCTCAGGGTCTTTTTCCTCGGCTTAATGAAGGCTGCCCCTTTGCTCACCAAAGGACGTCAATCTGCTTGATCGACAGCTCTGCGTCCTGACACTGGCGAGCAGATGGAGCCGATCCTAAATGAGCCGCGGTTAGCTTTGCCTTGGCTAATAATATAATAGTCTGGCATTTGCCATATTGAACTAGCCACCGCTCCCAGAGCCAAGCAAATGAGCAGCACAGCTGGGCCAGTGGCAGAGCAGACAAAGCCCAGGAGGCACAGAGGCAGAGAAAAAGGTAGTTTACCACAGTCCCTCCAGACGCACCTCTTGAATATTCATCAATGACCCCCCCTGTCTTGCCCAAACCCAGATCTACACCCCTCTCCCACAAAATGTATTATTCAAAGGAAGCATTTTCCCCTATTAAATACTATAAATAAATAACGACATCTGGTAACAGTTTTTGTCTGCTGAATTAATGACAGGGGCATAGTTGAGTATTTTCCAGTGATTGGAGGAGTGGGTGTTAAGGGTGGATTTTCTTTCAGTTACCTTTCCTGTCCTGGCCTTTCCATTGTCTCTCTGGTTGGGTGCGATGCTTCCTTCCTTTGTTCAAATCAGGTGGCTTGTCAGTACATCTGAATTGGGTTGCGTCTCATTTATCCACCTCTTAAATCACCATGACGTAGAAGCAAACACTAGAAATCTGTTTGTTTCAACATTATGCCTGTGTTTTCCTATGCTAGAGTTGATCCTCATGAAAAAAACAGCTCTTAAAGCATTCGCCTGATTTTTACCTCGTTGTTTTTTCATATCTCGTGAACAAAAACTCAACAGGGCACATCCTCACACACAGTGAGGTACTCAAAGATGCATCCCTCATGGATATCAAGTATCTAATGTTGGCATCATTGTTGTACAGGCTCTCTCTGTCACATTCTGATGAACTGGATACAGGGAGTGCTTGAGAAGCCTACAGATGGCCAATGTTTTCCAGTCTAGTGTGTCGCATTTCCCAAAGGAGAAGCACATTTTGTGTTCAATTTGTATTTATTATGGTACAAAGGAATCCCCGGAATCTAAGAAAAATAGGAGCTGGAGCTACACAAGTGGATAGAAGAAGAGAAAGGTAAGCCATTGTTACTGAGAGTGATTTCTGTCTGTCTTCCTCTACCTCACTCCGCCTGCTTGGATTCAACTCAGCAGGGCTTTTCATGAAGCCGAGGCACCAGTGTGATACTTATAAAGCTCTCCTCGCTAATCAGAGATCTAGCTCTGGGGTTGCAGAAACCAATCACATGGATTTATGGGAGAGAATATAAAAGTTGTATAATGAATTTCCTTCAGAACCCTTGCACCCAGGTTGGGCTTATCCATGCACTTTATATTTTGTGTGATGACTTTGTTTGTGTACAGGGTTTGAGCACTGAGTGAGTGCAGTATTTGACTTCTGTTGCTGTTGATATTGGTTAATCATTTTGGTCACACAAAGTAACACATAATGTGACTTTCCCTCCTTTGTGTTATTCAAACAAATACTGAATGCCAAAAGAGCATTAAGCGCAAAATGCCTCAGTGCATAATTTCTGTAAAATATTGTGGCTTCAAAAGGTTTGTTGTTGGTGTGTTTTGTTGATAGGAAAAAAATCACCTCTGCTTTTTATTCCATATACAAACCAGAAAAAACAGGTCTCTTTAATCCTGTCTCCCTGTAGGCGCATTGCTGTGAATCCCTTGTTTATTAAAGGTTTTTATTTTTGTGGTAATACTGCCTTTTGATGTTTTCACATCACTCAATATTGTTTTCATGATATTGCCGCTTCAAACATACTCATAAGGCAGACACATCCAATAGTTGTCGTTTTCGCGGAAAAACCAAGTATTACGCTGGAGGAAAATCAGGAGTTCACTAAAGACATTGGGATTAATCCTCTGGGAACCAAGAATGTGAATACAAACTTGAATGGAAATCCATCTAAATGCTATTAAAACATTTCAGTCCAGTCCAAAGTGATAGACTGGTTCCAGTTTAACATTGCCATCCCAAGAATCTAGCCCATGGATGTCTAAAAACATCAAAGAGTGAAGCGCTTTGGTGAAAAAGCCATCTCTTGAGATTTAAACTGAAGAGACACAGACCGAGATACAGACACAGTTTGACAAAGAAAGCATCAGCAACTGGTCAACCTGCAGCCCTCAGTGGATTGGGTCAATTGTGTGGAAACTCAGCCTTTTATGGTTTTGTGGTCCATGCCGGTCTAGCCACCCGACAGATATCAGCAAATATTCTCCTTCAAAGGGTTTGACCCTGTGCAGTTATGGGCGGTTGTGTGTGAGTTAATGAGTGTTTGAGTGTGCACATGTGTGTTGTGAGAGTGG